AATAAATATATATATATATATATATATATGTATATATATGTATATAAATTATATACATATAATAAATATATTTATTATATTAAATTTAAATATAAATCACATTATTTAAAACACTGTTTTTTATATTTATCGCACAATATAATAACTGCTTTATTAGGACCTTCATTATTAAAACTTCATAAAGAACTCTGTAAAATCCTTTTCTATTTGGGATATTACCTTCAATTGCCTCAAGTCGTTTAGGATTTAAACGTGCTTTAGGTGTTACATTTCCTTTCATGGTATTAGCAACTTTTCCCGTTAAACTAGATGATGCCAACTCTTCTTTAGAAAAAACTACTGATAGTAAATCGCATGTGTACTGCGAAATACTATTTCTATTGCAATGTCTAAGGCGATTAGCACTTACAAGAACTCCTTTTCCACCCAGATCAATCATTTTTTCCTATAAAAAAAATTAAAGAAGTAAAATATATTATTTCTGTAAACACAAAAAAAATGTACAAAAAATATATAAAAATTGTGCTTACATTACAGTATTCTTTATTCGATGTGATTTCTATTATATCATTTGTAGCTTCATTTTCAATTTTCTATAAATGTGTTTAAGAAAAAATTGTATGAATATAATATAACCTAATCTCAAATATTTATTCTGTATAAAGGTTAAAACATGTAACAATTTATACTCATTTACAATGGTATTAAGCAAATATATCTTTTAAATATATGAAAATATTTTCTTATACAAGATATTGATTTCATTTGTAATTAAATAAAATGCCGAAAATTGATGTTAATTGTTTTAATTTAAAAAATTTTTTATTTCTAAAATAAATAAGTTATTGATTGCTATTTCTTTAAACGAAGATTAATTTACCTTGGAGTCCGTAATTAAATCAAATGTGCCATGTATTTTTTCTGTTTTGAGAATAATATTTTCCACCAGATTATTTATCTTTGGTAAATCTAAAAATGGCATATAAAACAATTAGAGTACAACCACTTACAAATTTTGAAGTATAATGTATGAAATTATTTTAATGATTTTCTCCTAATATAATGTGTGTTTAATTAGTTTCTTTATGTAACATTATATTTCTGCTTATATATATACTATTTAAAATAATACATGACTACAAATACAATACATACTTTCTATACAAGCAAGTGATACACGCAGTGCCATGTTTTCGTTTTTTAAATCATCATTTTCTTTTTTTAAAGTATTATTCTCTTGTATTAAATGTTGCGACATTTTTGAAGAGCTATCATCATCTGAAGATTGTTCAGAATTTACCTACATTTCAAAAAGAGATATTTTATATTATACAATCAGGATATAAAAATTAATGCTTAAATATTATATTAGATTTTTTGCAAATTTAAAAAAACTTACTGCAAATGAATTTTTCATTGTTTTCAATTCTTTCCATAATTCTGAAGATTTGCTTTTAGCGTTCATTCCTTTTATATCATTTTTTTTAGATTTCTACTTTTAGAAAAAATAAAAATAATGCAAATAATATTTAAATATAACATAATATTAATAATAAAAAATTACAATAAATATGTATGATGTAACAACCTTTTTTTTCTGACTTTCATCTTCTGATTCTTCATCATCACTCCATATTTTTT